GCCCAAACTGAGAAATACTCAAAATAATTAGCCTACACTCCTCAAAAATATCATGATAATCAAGTCAAAGGCAAGATAACAAAATGTAATATGTGTTTCTGAACTGGATCCTTTTGCTCTACAGGTTCTTATTGGGACAACTGGTAAAACCTGAATGGGATCTGGGGATTAGCTGGTACTACTGTATCACTGTTAAGCTCTGGATTTTAATGGATGTATTGTGGTTATATGGGAGAATGTCCCCATTTGTAGGAAACACACACTAAAGTATTCAAGGCTGACGGAGCATCAAGTGAGCAACTTACTCTCAAATAGCTCAGAGAGGGAAAAGGCTCTTTGTACTATTTCTGCAACTTATCTGTAAACTTAACATTATTTCAAAATAAAAAACAAAATGCACATATTAACAACAAAGAAGCACACACCAATGTCTCAGGATTATAAAAACATAGTTCTTCAGTAAAATTTCTAGATAGAAAAGTACACTATTATCCTTTTTATAAGCTTTTCTAATAATATATCTCATTTTCACAGCACTTCCAAATAGAAATTTCTGTGATGGAAATGTTCTACATACATGCTGCCCAATACAATAGCACATATGGCTGATGACTATCATATTGGAAATGCAGGTCTAGAGAATAGCAATAAAAGCCATAAAAGGTTAAAGGGCTTTTTCATTAAAAAATTAGTTTTAATACTAATTAAATTTTAAGACAACTTACTTTACTTTTTCTAAACTTGCTGACAGACTGCCTGTATTTTTCAAAATTCCCTATCTTCTAATGTCTTTTTTTGTTTGTTTACTTCTTTGTGTGTTTGTGTGTGTGTGTGTGTGTGTGTGTGTGTGTGTGAGAGAGAGAGAGAGAGAGAGAGAGAGAAAGAGAAAGAGAAAGAGAGAGAGAGAGAAAAAAAGAGAGAGAGAGAGAGAGAAAGAGAGAGAGAGAGAGAGATAGGCCGGGCGGGAAGGGAGGGGCAGAGAGGGAGAAGGAAGGTCCGAAGCAGGCTCTGCACTGACAGTAGAGAGCTGATGCGGGCTCGAATTCACAAATGATGAGATCACGACCTGAGCTGAAGGTGGATGCTTAACGGGACTGAGGCACCCAGGCGGCCCGTCTTCTAATTTCTTTTTTTTTTTAATTTTTTTTTCAACGTTTATTTATTTTTGGGATAGAGAGAGACAGAGCATGAACGGGGGAGGGGCAGAGAGAGAGGGAGACACAGACTCAGAAACAGGCTCCAGGCTCTGAGCCATCAGCCCAGAGCCTGACGCGGGGCTCGAACTCACGGACCGCGAGATCGTGACCTGGCTGAAGTCGGACGCTTAACCGACTGCGCCACCCAGGCGCCCCCGGTCTTCTAATTTCTTAATCAAGTCTGAATATCTATCAGAAGTAATCACTTACCTATCTTTGGTTTAAGGGCAGTTTTTTTTGTTTGTCTTTAAACTGCCATTCCTTTTAGTAAAAAACTCCTACTGATTCATACTCCTATCTTGTCAACTTTTTGAAGTATATCTTTCTAAAATCTAGGGACATGTACATGTCCACCCAGTATTCCCAATTTTGGCTCTCACAAAGTTAGATCACAAATTCACTTTCTCCCAAACTTGTAATTTACACTTTACTTTTACTTTCTCTCATACTCATCTTTCGCTATGTATAGCTGGTACACTCTATGTTAACTGCTATTACAAGTTCATTTCCTGCCATGCTCAGGGTAAGGTTCCTCCTGATCAGATCAGCTTATTTCAATTCCACATGAAATATAATCATCACTTAGCCAATCATTCTAGTATTTTAAACCAAGATCTAAAAGCCAAAAAGCCAAAATCTAGGGGCACATGGGTGGCTCAGTCGGTTGAGTGGTTGACCCTTGGTTTTGGCTCAGGTCATGATCTCATGGTTTGTGGGTTTGAGCTCCATATTGGGTTCTGTGCTGGCAGCATGGAGCCTGCTTGGGATTCTCCCTCTCTCTGTGCCTCTCCCCCGGCAGCTCTCTCTCTCAAATAAATATATATTTTTTAAATAATAAAAGCCAAAATCTAGTTTAATGACATCATCTACATAGACCACAGGAAAAGAAAACTGCATGCTTCAAGCGCATCAAACTCCACAACTCTTGGTTTGAAAAGAAAATGCAAAGTAAAATTCTTCTCCTTGTGATTCACCTTGGTAACCGAATGCCTTGAGGGAATGCAATAGCAGTCACCCACCTATGAGGAGGTTCTGTTATTGTTCTTGACTGACTTAATTCAGAACTTGGAAGAAGAAAAAAACTGGCTTGTTTACAATAGGCCCATGAAGTTAATACCTATGCCAAACATCTTTAGAAACATTTAACAAATCTAGGAAAATCAAGAATTCTACCAAAGATAAGTTTTTAAGAGTTGATTTAGAAGAATCCCTCCATCCCTCTTACTTCTATTAGTAACTATTTAGGGGCCCCTGGGTGGCTCAGTCTGTTAAGCGTCCGACCCTCGGTTTCAGTTCAGGTCATGCTATCACAGCTCATAAGTTCAAGCCCCAAGTTGGGCTCTGTGCTGATAGGGCAGAGCCTGCTTGGGATTCTCTCCCTCTTTCTGGGCCACTTCCCTGCTCTTACTCTGTCTCTTTCAAAATAAATAAACAAACTTAAAAAAAAAAACTATTTAAAACAAAAATAAAATTAAAAAGCAATTCAAAATCCCTAATGTCAATATTATTTAGAAGATGCATAATAGAACAAATTTCCATCTTCATTTGAAAAATCAAACCCTAGATTTCCAAGTCAACATGGCATCAATGCAAGCAGTACCCATTATGTTGGCCCAGTAACACACTCAAGAACATATAAAAGCTGGACTAGGGTGGGGAAATATGATGGGGCCTAAGCTCCACATGCTGTCTTCTAAACCAGAGCCACACATATAGCAGAGCAGAGGCAGGAAAGAGAAAGAACACACCTTTTTTTTTTTTAATCTCCATGCAGGAAAACAAAATTTAGGGACCAGAAAACCAAGCAACAGTTGAAAAATTTTATGAGAAAACTTTTGGGCTATTTACAAAAATACTGATAAATGTAGTATCTGATTGTTGTAAAAATCTCAAACAATGGGGCACCTGGATGTCTCAGTTGGTAGAGTTCGGGGTTGTGAGTTCAAGCCCCACACTGGGCATATAGCTTACTTACAAAAATAAAAATAAAAGGAAAATTTTTAAAAGAGCAGCTTAAAAAAAATCTCAAACAATACTAAAGTGTATGAAGTGTAAAGTGAAAGTCTCCCATGTTTTCTTTTGCCCTTCCCAGTTCAGTACCAGATCAACAGTTGATATAATCAATGACATAGATTTTATTTGGTGAACTTTTTACACTCTTTGCCTATTTTTCTAATAGTGTTTTGGTCTGTTTCTTATCTGCAGGGACTCCTCAATACTAGGTGACATCAATCTTTTCCTGACATAGGGTTAAAAATATGCTTCCGCTGGGGTCCCTGGGTGGCTCAGTTGGTTAAGCATCTGACTCTTGGTTTCTGCTCAGGTCATGATCTCAGGGTTTGTGAGTTCAAGCCCATGCTGGGCTCTGTGCTGCTGACAACATGAAGCCTGCTTGGGATTCATTCTCTCTCCCTCTCTCTGCCTCTCCCTCGTTCATGCTTGCTCACTCTCTCTCTCAAAATAAATAAATAAACTTAAAAAAAAATACATTTCCCCAATCTGTAGTTTATCTTTTAGTTTTGTTTATATTATCTTTTTATGCAATCAAATTTGAGTCAATTTTTTCCTTCTTGATTTTGGCCTTGGTATAATGCTGTATGCAGAATGGAGTAGAACAAACCATCTGTTTTAGTGAGGCTTGCAAGCTAAGAATGATTTTATACTTTAAAAAAAATATTTTTTTAATGTTTATTTATTTTTGAGAGACACAGAGAGACAGAGTGTGAATAGGGAAGGGCAGAGAGAGAGGGAGACACAGAATCCGAAGCAGGCTCCAGGCTCCGAGCTGTCAGCACACAGCCTGGCACGGGGCTCAAACCCACGCAGGGTGAGATCATGACCTGAGCCGGAGTCAGACGCCCAACTGACTGAGCCACCTAGGCGCCCCACTTTTTAATGGTTGAAAAAAATCAAAATAGTATTTCATAATGTGAAAATTATATTGAAATTCAAACTCCAGTATCCATAAACAACATCAAACATAACTGCATTCACTCATTGACATGTTGCCTATGGATGCCTTCAACGCTACAGTGGCAAAATTGAGTGGCTACCTGTGTATGTGGTGCTCACAGAGCTGTGCACTGCTGCTCAGTGCACCACAGAGTGGAAATCACACTGAGGAAATCAGCGAAGAAGCTATATAACTCAGCAGCATCTTGACTGCCACATGCGCATACTGACATACTGCACTGTGATAGCTTATTTCTTTGTGTTACCAGTGCATAGTCATCATATCAAAACAAGAAGAGAAAGTAGATAATGTCATGCTTTTTTTTTTTTGATAATGTCATGTTTTTAAGCAAAGTGGATGGAGAGTGTGGATTACCTTGCTATTAAGTCACACGAGGAAGCACTGTGTTTATTATGCAATGACACTACAGCTGTGCTAAAAAAAATTCAATATACACCAACATTAGCACACTAAGTAGTCACCCAATATTTCTAATTCACAGGAAAAGCCATGATCTGAAAAATCCAAGGCTGATCTATTAGCCAAGAAAAGGAAGTAATTTATTAGTCAATGGTGAGTTGCTTAAGCCATGCTCAGTTCTAGGTGCTGAAGAAGGATATTCAGAGAAAATAAACTTAAGACTACTAGCTTTTCAAAAAGACCAACTCCAAAAGTTGAGGATAAAGGGAGTTAAGATTAATCATTTTAAGAAGGCAAATGTGGGCCGCCAGGGTGGCTCAGCGGGGTAAGCGTCGGACTCTTGGTTTTCAGCTCAGATCACGATCTCACAGTTTGTGAGTTCAAGCTCCACATCGGGCTCCACGCTGACAGTGTGGAGCTTGCTTGGGATTCTCTTTCCCTCTCTCTCTGCCCCTCTCTTGCTTGTGTGCTCTCTCTCTTTTGTCTCTTAAAACAAATAAATAAACTAAATTAACTACGTAACTAACTAAATAAATAAAGCAAATGAGGGGGACCTAAGTGGCTCAGTCTGTTAAGCATCCAACTCTTGATCTCAGCTCAAGTCATGATCTCATGCTTCACGAGATTGAGCCCTGTGTCAGGTTCCACACTGACAGTGTAGGGCCTGCTTGGGATTCTCTCTCTCCCTCTCTCTCTCTGCCCCTCCCCTGCTCGTGCACATGCTCTCTCTCAAAATAAATAAACTTAAAAAAAAAAAGAAAAGGCAAATGAGTTCATGTAAAGTCCCTGTTTCTCAATGAGTGGAAAGATGTTACCAATACTGCTCAGTTGTTTATTCAAGGAGTCAATGCCAAGTTTAAGCTGGATGAAGTTTAAGCTGGCTGGCTCAGTCTGTGGAGCATGTGAGTCTTGATCTCAGGGTTCTGAGTTCAAGACCCACTTTGGGTATAGAGATTATTACTAAAAAAAGAAATCTTAAAAAAAATTAAGTGAATGAAAAATTGGCTTCCATGAATAGTCTGTTAAACAACTACAGGCCAGAAATTGAGAAAATACTAATTCAGTACAATTTGAATTGCAATCTGCTAAAATGTGTTACCACTGATAATAGTAATGTGGAGTAGAAAAAAGCTCAGTTGGATAATTTGCAAAGTTTGTTAAGATGCAAGGCAGTTATTCAATATATTCTTCATCAGCAGGTACTCTGAAAAATATTTAAATTTATCATGTGTTATTGAGCCAACAGTGCTGATGGTGAACTTCACTCACTGTCATGGTCTTAATTATTGCCAGAAATCAAAGCTGAATAATCTGACTTGCCTGACCACAGAGCAGTTCAGGGACTTTGCTGTAGTAAAATTTGGTGATTTTTAATCTTTTTTTTTTTTTTAAGTTTATTTATTTTGAGAGAGAGCGCAAACAGGGGAGGAGCAGAGAGAGAGGGAGACAGAATCCCAAGCAGGCTCAGACCCGTCAGCACAGAGTCTGATGCAGGGCTTGAACTCACTAGCTCAAGATCATGACCTGAACTGAAGTCAAGAGTCAGATGCTTAACTGACTGAGCCACCCAGGCGCCCCTGTGAATTTTAATCTTTTAAGCTCTGGGTTGAGAATGAAAATTTTCAGAACAATAGACCTCTTTCAGATTATCAAATAATGAATGGCTCTGAAACTTTGCTTTTGCTGCAGATTTACAATATTTAATAAAGTAACCCTGGGGGTGCCTGGGAGGCTCAGTCAGTTGGGTGTCTGACGCTTGATTTCTGCTCAGGTCATGATCTCACAGTTTCTGGGGCTCTGCACTAACAGTGTGGAGCCCACTTGGGATTCTGTTTCCCTCTCTCCCTGCCTCCCCTATTCACGCCTTCTCTGTCACTCTCAAAATAAATAAACTTTAAAAAAAGAATTTAATAAATTCAATCTAACATTACCAGGGCAGAACAACACTTATATGTGAAAGTCAAACTACAATCAAGTCATTGAGATAAAAATTAATATCTGAATCATAAGCAATAATGTCAAGTTGCTTTATACACTTCTCATGCTGTTAAATTTAAAATAAGAAGTGAGATCTACATTCCAAAACAATTTTTTTTAAGTTTTTTTTTTTTTCTTTTTTTCTTGAGAAGGGAAGGGAGGGTCAGAGACTGGGAGAGAAAGAGAATCCTAAGCAGGCTCTGTACTGCCAGCACAGAGCCCGACTCAGGGTCCAAAGCAACGAACTGTGAGATCAGGACCTAAGGCACAGTTGGATGCTTAATGAACTGAGTCACCCAGGTACCCCACCCCCAAACAAATTTTCAGGGGACAGATTTTCTTAGCTCAAAACTACAGTTCCAAACAAAACAAAACAAAACAAAACAAAACAAAACAAAACAAAACAAACTACAGCTCCAGAAGCAGTTTTAGGACTTCAATGAAAGTGCAAAGAAATTTCCATATTTCAAAGTCTACTTAACAGTGAAATTATGGAGCTTCCATCTAACCCTTAATTGGAAGTAATTAATCTGCTATTTAATGATATGCTAAAAGGCAAATATTAAAAGAATAAGATAATTTTATAAATGCTTCCCAAGTGATTAATATGCTCCACTAAAATCATATGCTTGTGGGCTGATACTGATATTTGGCTACACATCTATGTAAAGACATTTTCAAAGATGAAATATGTAAAATCTTATTACAGACCATCATTAACATTTGAAATCAATTTTGATAGGAAACAGTAACTCTGAACTCCAATTAAGTGAATGTATCACCTTAAAAAAGAATTCCCTTTTTCTCATTAATATACCTATTGTTACAAAAAGTTGTACTCAATAATTATTATATTTTAATTTCATCAATAAGAAATTTGTGGAAATGTGTTTTTTAAAGTACCTTGAATAGCCTTGATTTTGCTTATTGGACCACAAAGCCTAAAATATTTACTCTTTGGCTCTTTACAGAAAATATTTGATGACCCCTGCTTTTGAGAAAGGTTTTCTTTAGCCTAAGCATATAAAAGCATCTCCTCTGTTTCCTGAAGGGACAGGTAAAAACTTTTACCCAACACAAATAGGGATTGGGGCTGGTTGGTTACACAAAAAAAAGCAGTAGATCAGGTAACAAAAAAAATATATACATATGTAACTTAAATATTTGATTTTTACTGAAAACAAATATACATACATTCATTCATCTGCCAATACCCTGGTAGAAAGCCAAGGCCTCTGTGAGTATGGATAATTTATGTTTCACATGTTCTTTCTTACATGTATCATATCGATAATATATACCCATGATTTTTAATTTCAATTTCTTTAAATGGAACAAGGCGGGGCACCTGGGTGGCTCAGTTGGTTAAGCATCCAACTTCAGCTCAGGTCATGATCTCCCAGTTGGTGAGTTCGAGCCTTGCATCAGGCTCTGTGCTGATGGCTCAGAGCCTGGAGCCTCTTCAGATTCTGTGTCTCCCTCTCTTTCTGCCCCTCCCCCGCTCAAGCTCTGTCTCTCTCAAAAAAATAAATAAACATTAAAAAAAATAATAAAATGGAACAAGAGGCACCTGGGTAGCTCACTCAGTTAAGCATCCAACTCTTGGTTTCAGCTCATGCCGTGATACCACACAGTTCATGTGTTTGAACCCTACATCGGACTCCTCACCAACAGTGTGGAGCCTGCTTGGGATTCTCTCTCTCTCCCTCTCTCTTTGCCCTTCCCCTGCTCATGAGTACTCTCTCTCTCTCTCAAAATAAATACACTTTAAAATACAATAATAAAATAAAATAAAATGGAACAAGTATTCAAACAACTGTGAGACAACTGAGCATAGAATCTTTAACAAGATTTTTATGATTTTTTTTTTCTAATCTTCTAAAATGTGCTCACAACCAATAAGATAGTAATTTGGGCAGGGTGGGGAGGGGGCTGGCTCAGTCAGAAGAGCATACAACTCTTTTTTTTTATTTGAGAGAGAGAGAGAGAGAGAGAGAGAGAGAGCGCGCGCGAGCGCACACGAGAGGGGGGGAGGGGGCAGAGGGACAGAAGGAGGGGGTGGAGGGAGAAGGAGACACAGAGAGAGAGAATCCCAAGCAGGATCCAAGCTTGGCACGGAGCCCAATGTGGGGCTCGGTCCCACAACCCTGGGATTGTGACCTAAGCTGAAATCAAGAGTCAGACACTCAACTGACTTAACCTCCCAGGCGCCCTGGGCATGCAACTCTTGATCTTGGGGTCATGAGCTCAAGCCTCACGTTGGGTGTAGAGATTACTAAAGAGCAAATAAATAAACTTAAAAAGAAGATAGTAATTCGGGGGGAAAGGGACTTATCTAATCCTTTCAAGATCTTCAACTTAACTTTCTTAAAAACAACTACCTTTATACTCATATTTCATTATACTCACATTTATATAATATTTAATTAGGTTATAAAATTACAGTAAGTAAAACTGGCATAAGCAGGTTTGGAACATATTGACCCTTAAAAGTATAAAATTCAATTTGTGATTGTAAAAGGCAAGGTATACCAGAGTAGTTTATTACCAACCATGAGTGCTCAGTTTAAGAATCATTCCGTACAGGGGCACCTGGTTGACTTCAGCTCAGGTCATGATGTCACGGTTTGTGAGGTCAATCCCTGCACTGGGTTCTGTGCTGACAGCTTAGAGCCTGGAGCCTGCTTCAGATTCTGTGTCTCATTCTCTCTCTGCCCCTCCCCCACTTGTGCTCTGTCTCTGTCTCTCAAAAATAAATGTAAAAAGGGGCGCCTGGGTGGCGCAGTCGGTTAAGCGT